ACAGGAAGGCTTAATGTCAGCCTGAGGAGTGGGAGACACAAGACAGGCACCATTAACGTGGCCACTGTGCTCTCTCAATGACAGCGGTCTGCTGGAAGTGTAGTGCACCTCTTTTCCTACTTTTAAACGACCCACACTCACTCTGCAGAGCATTTTTCTTATTTCTAATACATGTAAAGCCTCACTATCTTTTGCACTTGTTTTGTCCAACTCTTTGTTCAGGACAAAAAGAACCTAGACTCTTTAGAAGGAGTCCCCAGCACCACAAAACCCAATTATCAGTAGAGTACTTATCTAGGGTGTGCAAGGCCCTGGATTTGATCCCCAGCACTGCAAAAAATAAAAATAAAAAGTATTTTAAACCCATAATGGAATTATTATTATCAAGAATTATTATTCTCATCACAAGATTAATAGAAAATCTCCTGCCATCTGTTTTTGGGGGTTCTGGTTTGTTTTTGAGACAGGGTCTCGATATAGTCCAGGCTGACCTTGAACTCACTATATACCCCAGGCCGGCCTCCAACTTGCAGCGATCCTTTTGCCTGAGCCTCCCCAGTGCTGGGATTACAGGTATGCACTACCATACTGGCTTTGGAAATTAAACATGCACTTCTAAATAAATAATCCAAGGGTTAAAGTATCTCAGGTAAAATTTTTTTTAAAAAGGTTTGATCTGAGCTGGGGATTTAGCTCAGTGGTGCCGCTGCCTGCCTCGCAAGCGCAAGGTCCCAAGTATGATCCCCAGTATCAAAAAAAAAAAAGTTTGAACTGAAAGTATGTGAAGATGCAAACCAAGTACAGTGGTGCATTCCTGGAACCTCAACAACTTGGGAAACTGTGACAAGAGGGTTGCACATCTGACACCAGCCTGGACAATTTAGCAAATCCTTCCCTCAAAACTAAATTAAATCAAATCAAATGGGCGGAGAGGAGGCCTAGAGATATAGCTCGGTATTAGTGCACCTGGGTTAGATCTCCAGTACTGCCAGGAAGGGAGAGGGAAGGAAAAGAGGGAGGAAAAACATTTGTGGGATGTAGCCAAAGCAGTGCTTGGTGGACAATGATAACACTAAGGCTTATAAAGGGCCTCCAATTAGTACTCTAACATGTCACCTTAAGGAATGAGCAAAATTAATCACCAGCAAGCAGGAAAAAAACAACAAAAGGTAAGATTCAATGCAATTGAAGAGGGAAAAACAAGAAAATGAATGAAATCAAATGTTGGTTTCTTAAGATTAAAAAAAGAAAACTGTAACAAACCAACACACACACTCTCACAGGAAAAATCACATTATCAATGATGGGCCTGAAAGAGGAGGTATCAATACAGATTTTTACATACATACTTCAAAGGTGATATTAATTCCAATTTATAGCCACAAGTTCAATGAGACAAAATAGACAAATCCTTTAGAAACAATTTAGTAAAATCAACAAATGAGTCTATTGCTTCTCTGCCTTTTAGCTAAGATCAAGTGTATTTTTATGAGTCTCTCACATAGGTCAACAGCCTCATGTGGGTGGCATTCTTGGCTCTTTCCAATCCCTCACTTTACTCCAATTCTTAACTCTGGCACAACAAACTCATCTAGCCCGTTATCATTCTACCTGGGGCCTTCTGGACCTAGATAATCAAATAAGGGAAGGTGTAAAGCCAATCTGAGTTCTTCCTCAAATTATTTAAGGAAAGACAGGCAGTTTATAACTGCAACCCAAAACAATCCAACTGCCCAGAGATAGTGATCTTGAAAGGTCTATTAAAGTAGCTACAAACAGCCAGGGCCCTGTTATCCCCACTAGGATGACAAATTCAAGGAAAGCCTGGGCAACTCTGTGAGACCCTTTCTCAAACTAAAAATTTTAAAAAGTTGGGCCAGGTGTGGTGGTACACACCTGTAATCTCAGCACTTGGGAGCCTGAAACAGGAGGATCACCTCAAATTCAAGGCTGGCCTGGGATACATATTGAGTTTAAGGCCAGTCTGAACTACCTAGAGAGAGCCTGTCTCTGAATAAATAAATAAATCGCACACAAGCCCAAGCTATTGAGCTGAGGATTATAGCAAGTGTGAAGCCTTGGGTTCAAATCCCACTACTAACAGGAAAAAAAGGAAAAAAATTTCCCCAACTTCAAGGTCTGTACCTTCTTCAAAAGAATGAAGAGAAAATGGAGACAGCAGAGTCAGTAATGGCTAGAGACATTTTGCAACATACAGGAAAACTTTTCTCATTTTTCTGAACATCTCTTACAATGTAAATATGCAGATTTACGTATGACTACTGCAGCTGCAAAATTACAACACAGTACTAGAAACATACAACATTGTGGAGCTAGAATGTATTCTCAAGATAATATACATAGTTCAATTCCCTTAAAACATTTCCCTGTACAAGTTGCCAGGAAGTTTACTGTATCGTCACAGTAAACTGTATTCAAAGCTTTCTTGAGCAAACTAATCAAGATTGAAATTTTAGTACAATAAAGAACAATACCACCAGCATCATGTGTGATTCAGGAGAAAGTATAGGCTTCAAGCTCAATCTGGGGTACACATCTGTAATCCCACTACTCTGAGAGGCTGAGGCAGGAGGATCACAAGTTTGGGCCAAGCCTAGGTATCCTAATGATTGAGACTCTTATGGTTTCCATCTACATGTCACCTCAGAGCCTCATGTGCTTCTAAGTGGGGATTTGGGGAGGTGACTAGATCATGGGAGTGTAATACTAAATAGTGGATTGGGCCACTGATGAATTTATAGCTAAAGGTGATGTTGAGTGAAGCCTGGCTGGAGAAGGCAGGTCACTGGGGGTGTGGCCTGGAAAGGTTGATCTCCCTCCTCCTCACTTGATCTCTCTCTGCTTCCTGTCTGCCATGCCATGGATGAGCTGTTTTTCCTGTCATGCCTCTTTTGCCATGCCACCCTGCCTTGGAGCCACCTAACTATGGACTACAAGCTGAGAGTCAAAATAAAAACTCCTCTTTAAATTGTAGGTATTGGGTATTGTGTCCCAGCAACAAGAAAGTAACTAAGACAGACGCTGTCTCAAAACAAAAAAGGGGATGGGATGTAGCTTAGTACAAAGATGCTGGGTTCAATCCCCAAACACCAAGGGACAAAAAGAGAGAAAGAGGGAAAGAGGGAGGGAGGGAGGGCAGGCTGGCTTCAGAATTCAGAGACCAACAAAGTTTTTTGAAGAAGTCAAAAATACTGGAATCTATGAGTATTATGAAAATGTCTTTATCTTGCTTCCCAATAAAACTATAAATACACTGCAAAAACACCCACTGGGTATACTTACTTTTTACCGAGTTAAGACATATTTTTATAAAGTTGCACCACAGACTAAGAACGCTATTAAATTTTTATCACTTAACATTGTATCAGCTTAGAAACACTTGATTTTAGTGGTTGCCTAAAATCCCACTGCATAACAATTTTCTTATTCTCTTTTTGACACTTACATCAATAATGCTGAGATAAATGCATGCATTTTACTTTTCCTGTATTTGAAATTATTTAGACTACATTTTATTTTCTAGGGGTTTCTTTGTTGTTTGGTTTTTTGGTTTTTTTGGTATTGGAGACTGAAGTCAGGACCTTGGGCTTGCTAGTGTTTTGGTTTTTTGAGACAGGGTCTGGCAATGTAGTTCAGGCTGGTCTTGAACTCACAAGAGATCATCCTGCCTCAGCCTCCCAAGTACTGGGATTATGAGCATGAGTCACACCTGGCTTGTCTTCTAGTTTTATTTTAACATCAGAATAGGCTCCATGTAATTGAGATTCTGGTTATTTTACAAGAATGAGAAATTAAGTAGACTATAGAGTTGAGAATTCTGAAGCTTCAGATCTTTTAGAAACCAGAGGCAAAAGAAAGACAAAAAATGAAAAATAATTTGGACAAGAACACATTTTTTTGGCTTTCTGGGCCACAGTTTCATGAAGTAGTTCAGGCTGGCCTCAAACTTGGCATCATCCTGCCTCAGCCTTCCAAGTGCTGGGATTATAGCCGTGGACCTCCACACAGGGCTTAATAACACTTTTTACAATGAGATTTAAGAAGATGACTTAAAAATGTAATACTAATATTGATGTTTCAAAACATTCTCCCCACCCATTCACCCACCAGGGATCAAACTCAGGACCTTGTGCCTGCCTGGCAGGTGCAGCTCACACTGAGCTACATCCCCGGCCCCTTCAAAACATTATTAACCTTTAATAACTATTACCAAGTCTTCCTATCCCAGATGTGATTCAGAAGAGTTGCTGGTAAATGAATATATTATTTATTAAAGTTAAAAAAAAATTGTAAGCAAACAGGACACATGACCAGCCACGAGTTGATGGTTTTTTAAAACTGAAGAATTACCTACTCTTTCGTTTAACGTTTTCCAAAACAAAAAGTTAAAAAGAATTACATAAGCATAACCAAAGGAAAAAAAAATGACAAGCCACTCCCCAAAGCGCGTTGAAGACCAGACTTTTTCCGCTCACGAGCAGAGGAAGTGACTGTGTCTTCGCGACTAGCCTACAGTCCTATTATGTGTCCAATTATTAAAGGAAAGCTTTCGGGTCCGATCTTGTTTTAAATTTGTGAGGGCGAGTCTCAAAACCTCACTCCGGAAGACAGACGCTGAGAACACAAAGAGCAGAAGGGCAACCACGGGTCGCAGGGTCCTCACGAGGTCTCTCGTTGTCTGGGGTCTGCGATGAGAGCAGAGGCGGCTGCTTGTTTCCTCGAGAAAAGGTGATTTCTCCGGCCAAAGAAGGGAGGCCCATTTGGGTCCCCTAGGAATGAATTCAGGAGACCACCGTGACCGGCACAGGCAGCCTTGGCTGGAGGGGATCAGCCTGTGGAGGCACCGAGGCACTGATCTCCCAGAAATGTTTCTGGGCCCAAGACGACGGGGCGGGGTGATGCCGAAGGGTCCGACCCCAGTCCGGGGCCGCGGCGTTTGCGCCCCTAAGAAGCGACACCTCAGGGCAGGGAGGACCACAGGAAAGTTAGACGGCTTAGGTCAGGGACCAGGGGCCTCGCCGCCTCGCCACGCCCCCACCGCCGCCCGGGCCCCGTTGGGCGCCGTTGCCCCTTAGGGCCTGACCTCCAGCCTGACTCCCACTTCCAAGACTTCCTTTTCTCCTCTGCAACCCTAGTGTCGTTCAAACCCCGGGCCCAGCGTTGGCTGGGGACTGCCAAATTCAAGGCGCAGAACGAAGGCTAAGAAAAGAACCCCTGACGCTAATCAAACCACACTTACCTGTCCGAACTCAGGCGTGAAAACCTCCAAGACCGACTTCCGTAACACCGCTCAACATCCAAAATGGCGGTTTCCCCAGCCTCAGCACAGCCAGAGCGGGCGGAAGGATCCACGAGTCAAGTTAGCCACGCCCTCCTTCACACGGATTGGCTGCGCGCCCGCCGCTCCGGGACACACGCTCCGAGGGCTTAGCGGCTCCCACACTCCGTTCCCTTTGGAGTCCGCGCGGCCGGGGACTATTTCTCTTGGCGGAGGCTCCGGTTGTACTGCGTACCCATGACGCTTGTGAGTCATCCGCTGGGGCGCGCCCTGAGTTCTTCCCAGGGTGTGGTGAAGCGGTTGGCAATGCCCTGTTCTTCGAGTCCGTACCTAGTACCTTTGTCCCGGATTGATCCAGCCAGTGGAAAAACTAGCTCCAGAACTGCCTCTCTTACTGCCGGAGTTCCTCGCTGAGATTTGCTCCACTCCCTGTCTCGCCTCTCCCTTCGCCCTCGGCGGCTTTCACCTGCGTCCGGGTTTTTGTCCCCTTGTAGAGAGACGGACAGGTTTCGCTCCCTCCCTGGCAGAGCACCGCTGTTTATGCTACTCTCCACCTGCCAGTCTCCGTTTCCTTCTGCTGACGCCAATTCTTCCGCCCCATCTTGATTACCCTTCCAACCACAACCTCTTTGGCCTGTATATTTAAATTCAGTAATACGTTTCCTCGGCACCACATTCTCTGGCAATTTCCCTCGAGTATCTCTATATTCAGAGGAAACTTTTCATTTGATTATCTTTGTTTTTAACTTGAAAACCATTTGTTCGGCTTGCATTGGCAAGGGCTTCCTGGACTCCGCTTCCAGGAGAAGGTAAGCCTGCCCCCTGCTGTAGAGGCTGCATCTGCCGAGACCAAAACTGGTTTGCTTAATTGTCCTGGGGCAGTCGCAGGACAGGTACGGAGCCAGCCGTTACAGTGAGAGGTTGTTATGAATGTAGCGATACTGTATGTATTCCATTTTGCAGCATTTTGAAATAAAACCAGGTTCTGGCAGCTCAATACACAGTATTTGGTTGCTTTAAAATGTGATTTTTTTTCCAGTAAATACTCCATATATAAATTGAGTTACTGTGCAGCAAGATCATAGCATTAAAAAAAAGTGAGGGCAGACCGCTCCAATTTTAAGACCCTAGAGATACGAAACCAAATGTAATGTACATGGACCTTGTTTAGATATGATTTCAAGAAAACCAGTTATAAAACGTTTGGGGGATAATTGAGGAAATTTTATCATGGAGCAGAAAATAACCCAAGAATTGTTATTTTGTTATTTTATAAGAAAATATCCTGTTATTTTAAGAAGTGTGTACTGTAAAATGGCAGCAAAAACTAGATGATGGCTATTGTACTATTTTTTAAAATTCTTTTATTGGTACATTTTAGGTTTATTGTACTATTTCCTCTACTTTTAAGTATGTTTTAAAATGTTCATAGTTGCTAGCCAAAAAGTGCAAGCAATCCAACTGTTCATCATGGGATGCGTGGATAACAAAATATGTTTATGGTGATTTAACTTTAAAATCTTTGAAGCAATGCATAAAGATGGCAAACCACATAGAGCTGAAAATGATATACAATGAAAGTAAATCTTTCTACTCTGAACCTTAGTCTTACAGTCCCCTTTGTAGAAGTAACCACTGTTACCAGATTCTCGTGGTTTTGTGGAAGTTACCTAATCTATAAAGTGAGGATAATATCACCCACCTCGATAAAATTGTTGTGATTAAATGTCTTAGGTTTATGAAAGCTCTTAGAACAGTGTTCAACAGATTCTTTTATTTTTTATGTATTTTTTTTTTTAAGAGACAGAGTCTCACTGCGTAGTTCAGTCTGGCCTTCAACTCACTGTGGAACCCAGGCTGGCCTCAAACTCTCAGTGGTCCTCCTGCCTCAGCCTCCTGAGTGCTAGGATACAGGTGTGCACCACCACAACTGGCATCAACAGATAGTGTTGAATGCTACTGATACCCTTTCAGTGACATACTTTTTTGAGACAGGGTCTTGCTAATTTAGGCTGGCCTTGAATTCACAGCCCAGGCTGTCCTTGAACTTGAGGTGATCCTCCTGCCTCAGCCTCCTTCCTGAGTGCTGAGATTACAGGAATGCCTGCACCACCATGCCCATCTGGTTTTTTGGGGTTTTGGGGTTGTTTTTTTTTTTTTTTACACATATAGTAGCATACTAGACATACTTTACTGTAACTTGCTTTATCGTATATATCCTGGAGATTGTCCCTTCCATATCAATAGTTATCAATAATTCTCATTCCTTGAAAGGGCTACATAATATTCTGTTGTGTATGTGTACCTTTTTTTTTTTTTTTTTGGTACCGGGTATCAAACTCAGGACCTTGCACTTGCGAGGCAGGCATGGCACCACTAAACTAAATCCCTGGCCCTGTGTACCTTAATTTTAAAGCAGAGCTGTTCTGATGGGCTTTTAGGTTATTTCCAATATTTTACTGCTGTGAACAATGCTGCAGTAACTAGATATTTGTCAGTATGACTTGTATTTACTGGGTAAATTCCCAGAAACAACTGTGTCAAAGGGTATATACATTTTTTTATTTTAATAGATGCTGCCAAATCACCTTTCAAAGAGGAAGTTCCAATTTGTACCGCTAACACCAAAGTATGAGAGTTTCTATTTCCCCATGCCCTTGACATTATAGCAACCTTGTTCAAGCCATGGAAATAAAAATAAGCTTAAAAAAAAAGGCATTAATCCCCAGTCTAATTAAGCAATTCATTTAGAAAAATTGCTTCCTACTCAGTTGTTTTGATTCAGCAGTCATTACTTGTGTCCTGGATTTTTGCAAAACTCACCTGTGTAATTATTCAGATCTTATATCATTTGTGAATTGTAACACAATCAACCAGTTATTCAAATACTATCTGGGAGGATGAGAAGAGAGGCAGTATCTCTATCCCTCTCTAAAGAGACTGGTTTCATTCAGAAGCTAAACGTAATCAAAAACTGACTCAGACTATTTCACTTGAAAATCCTGTTTTGCTATTGGGAGAAAAATTAACACACATTTCTTTGGTCAACTCTGTACCCTTTTTTGTTTAAATTATTACAACTAATAGCTATAATTAAAACAATGCAGAGTTTGAAACCCGTGGAATAAGAATCTCAGTAAGGAGCCTGAAGGCCCCGATCAGTCAAGCCTGTTTTTATACAGCTCCTCCAGCAAAGAATGGCTTTTACATTGTTAAGCAAGAGAACACACCTGTAATGTCAGCACTCAGGAGGCTGAGGCTGGAGGATCACCACAAGTTCAAGGCCACATAGGCTACATAATGAGTTCAAGGCCAATCTGAACTATATAATGAGACCCTGTCTTGAAAAACAAACATACATTGTTCAAAGGTTGGGAAAGGGATAAAGAGTAATATAACAGTGACCTTATGTTGCCTACAAAGCCACAAAGCCTAAAATATTTAAATACTATCTGGCCTCTTTTAGGAAAAGTTTGCTGACTCCTGCAATAAAAGTACAGTAATGCACATTGTGTAAGAGAAAGAAGGGAAGATGATGAAGATAGAGATATTTGCATTAAGTACTAATCTTTAGAAATGGGAAAGTTTCAGATAGCTCAGGCTAAAGAAGATACAATGGAATAGGAACAACTCTGGCTATCTTAGCAAGGCCAGGGAAGAAATCAAGATCGTTTTTTACAGCACCTGCAGAACAGTTCTTCAGAGCACTATTCAATATTGTTAATTAGGGGCCGGGGATTTAGCTCAATGGTTCCCCGCCTGCCTCGCAACCGCAAGGACCCGAGTTCCATCTCCAGTACCAAAAAAAAAAAATATATATATATATATAGTTAATTAGGACTTTATATAAATAGTAAGCATCTCTGACACTTTGCAGTCCACAAAGCGCTGATAAGCACATTAGCTCAATTTAAGGCTCACCACATGTCTATGAAGCAGCTGTAGGTCAGAAATCCTTATCAGTTTTTTTTTTTGGTTTTTTGGGTACCAGGGATCGAACTCAGGTCCTTGCACTTTTGCAGCAGGCAGCAAAACCACTGAGCTAAATCCCCGGTCCCTTATCAGTTTTTATAGAAAAAAAGTGAAGTGACCAATCCAAGACCAACAGCAATGTGTCAAAATCAGGTCTTGAACCCAGGTCTTTACTTTTTGTTGTTGTTGTGTTTTTTGTTTTTTGTTTTTGGTGCAGGGGATCGAACTCAGGACCTTGTGCTTTCGAGGCAGGCATCAGCACCACTGAGCTAAATCCCCAGCCCTTGAACCCAGATCTTGAGACGATATTTTATACTTTCCATATACCCATATACTTTGCATCTTGGTCTTACATTTAATTTGTTTCCTGGTCTTATATTTGTGTGTATAGGGTTTATCAGTAAATACAAAGAAAATGCATTAAATCAGTACTCTTGCTTTGCAGTCAATATATTTTTGGATTGTTTTTTTTTGGTACCGGGGATCAAACTCGGGTCCTTGCGCTTTCGAGGCAGGCGGCAGAACCACTGTGCTAAATCCCCTGCCCTACAGTCAATATATTGATCAAAAAAATTTGCAAAGTTTTAGTTGTATTAATAGCATTTATCATCATTGTAATCCTAAAAAATTAATTTTTCCTTAAATGAATTTGAAAGAATAAAAACTAGTAGTCCTAGAATTTAAGTACAAATTCAAAAGCTGTTCAAAAGCAATTTTAAGGGCTGGGGATTTAACTCAGTGGTGCTGTACCTGCCTCACAAGCACAAGGTCCTGAGTTCAATCCCCAGTACTGCAAAAAAAAAAAAAAAAAAAAAGCAATTTAACCATAAATTCAAAAAACTATGAATCTAGCATAAGGATAGACATATAGTTCAATGAAACAGAATTGCAAGCCCAGACAAGTAAACCACACATTTGTGGACAATTGATTATTTTTTATTTTTGAAACAGGGTCTTGCCATGTAGTTCAGGCTGGCCTTTAATTCACTATGTAGCTCAGGCTGGCCTTGAACTTGTGATCGCCTGGCTGGATATTTGATTTTAAGCAAAGCTATCAAGAGAATTCAGTGGGGGAAAGAAGTCTTTTTAACAAATGGAGCTGAGGGGCCAGGGATTTAGCTCAGTGGTTCTGCAGCCTGCCTCGCAAGCACAAGGTCCGTTCGATCCCCGGTACCAAAAACAAAAAACAAAAACAAATGGAGCCGAGAAAGCTGGGTAGCCACATACAAAAAAAGATTAAATTAAAAAAAAAATTAAATTAAACTCCCCTGCTTCATACCATATACAGAATTAACTCAGAATGTATCAAAGATCTAAATGTAAGAACCAAAATTAGGAAACTCTTAGAAGAAATAACAGGTGAAAATTGTCATATCTAGGTCCTAGTTTCATAGCTATGACACTTAAATCACAAACAACCAAATAAAAATAAATTGGACTTCATATAAATAAAAAAACTTTGGTACTTCAAGAGGGTTCAGTGGCACTGTGCCTGCCTCACAAATGCAAGGTCATGAGTTCCATCCCGAGTACCAGAAAAAAAAAAAAGAGAGTAACAAAGTGAATATATATAGGACCACAGAAAAAGTTTGCAAATCACATATCTGACAAGGGTCTAGTGTCCAGATTCATAAAAATTACTGCAACACAGTAATAAAAAGACAACCTAATTTTAAAATGGGCAAAAGATTTTAATAGACAGTCTCCAAATGGTCAATAGTAACCACATGAAGATATACGCAATTCAAATCAAAATCACAATTATATATAACTATATGCACTTTAGTAGCTGCAGTGAAAAAAGAAAATAATAGCTTGGCATGGTAGTGCACACTTGTTATCCCAGCACCTGGGAGGCTGAGGCAGGAGGATTGCTGCAAATTTGAGGCCAGTCTGGCCTATACAGTGAGTTCAAAGCCAGCAAGACCTTGTCCCAGATAAATAAGCCATGGAAAAATTGAAATAGTCATATATTGCTGGTGGACTACAAAATAGCACATCCACTTTGGAAAATACATGAGCACTTCCTTAAAAAGTTAAACACAGTTATCACATGACTCAGAAGTTTTAGTCCTAGATATATGTATACACCCAAGAGAACTGAAAACATGTTGACACAAAAATTGTACACAAATGTTCATAGCACATCATTCATAATAGCCAAAAAAGTGGAACCAAGCCAAATATCCATCAAATGATGAATGGATAAATAAAAGTCATAAATCTATACAATGGAGTATTATTCAGCAATGAAACGAATGAAGTACTGACCCACACTAGCATGGATAATCCTTGAAAACATTATACTAAGTAAAAGAAGCCAGACACCAAAGGTTCGATATTGTGTTATCCCATTTATATGAAATGTCCAGGATAGGCAAATCCACAGAGACAGAAAGTAGATTAGCAATTGCCAGGGGATAGGGTAAGGAAGAATGGGGACTTACTGCTAATGGTATGAGATTTCTTCTTGGAGTAATGAAAATGTTCTTGAATTAAATGGTGGTAACTGTTACTGTTTGGATCTTAAATTCTCCACAGGCCCTGTATTGAAGGCTTGGTCCATAGCCTGTGGAGCTTTGGAAAGTGGTAGAACATTTAAAAGATGGAGGCTAGCAGAGGTAGAAGTTACTTCACTGGATCATTGGATGCATGCCCTTGAAGGGGATAATATTAGATCCCTCTCTCTCTCTCTTCTCCGTCCCCCCCCAGGTGCTAAGAGGTAACTTTGTTCTACAGCATGCTTCCACCATGATGTTCTGCCTTACTAAAAGCCCAAAGCATAGAGGTCAAGAAACTATGGACTGAGATTTCTGAAACCATGAGCCCAAATAATGCTTTTATCCTTTAAGTCAATCTTTCTCAGGTACTTTATCATAACAACAGAAAGCTAACAGTGATATTCCACAACCCTGTGAATATACTAACATCCACTGAATTGTACATTTTATTTTTAAATTTTATTTATTGAATTGTACATTTTAAAAGGGCAAGCTTCATGGCATGTAAATTATACCTTAATAAAAATTTTCCCCAAAAAATAGGTTTTTAAATTTTCCTGCAATTACTATTGTAATATAAAGCCCTAACAATTTAATTGTGGGAGCTAATAAATATAAAATGTATTTCAGAGCTGGAGGTATAGCTCAGTGGTAGAGTGTGTGCTTAGCATATGTAAAAACCTGGGTCCTATCCCCATACCAAAGCAAAACAAAACTGGATTAGGAAGATATTTAAGGGAGGAGTTAATATAATTGAAGTGGCAAAATAATAGCATAACTCTGACCAGACTGCAAAAGTAGAGATAAAAGGGGGGGGGGATCCACAATTAATTAAAAAGTCTTCTGGATCTAGAACTAGTTCAGATGAGAGCAGAGGAAACATTGATTATTTAATAATTTTTTAATTATTATTTGACTATAACTCTGAGTCACAACACCTCAAGGACATTTTTAGAGCACAGGAAATTTATAAGAATAGCATTATTATGATGTCACTTTATCAGAAGCTGCAACAAGCTGCACAGCTTCCCTACCCCAAGTGCTGGGGATTGAATTTAGGGCATTGAACATGCTAAGCATTTGCTGTACCACAAAGATATAATCCAGCCCACGCTGCCCAACTTCACACAATAATTTAGTAATGAATCCAGGAAGTTTCACTGGAGGCTAACTCTACGTGTTAGCAACTCATCTGCTGAAAACACCAACTAAGTCAATTTCAAAGTGGCATAATAAAGCCAAGTTTGCATCTTTTAGTCCAAACTAATCAAGAGTTACTGTGAAGTATAAAAGCTAATGTCTATTCCTACTTGCATTCTTACACAAAAGTCTGAAATCTTACTGGTTGAGTAAAAATATTTCAATTTCTGTTGAAATTAAAATTTTAAATGAAATTAAAATATTTCCTTGACTGATGTTACACGATTCCTACCTAAATATCTGTTACAATAAATGAATGAATGAATGAATGAGCTATTTACCACGAATTGTGAAGGACCAAGAGTCTTCAATACAGCCATTCTATCGTATTAGACACAAGAGGCAGACAATGATATCATCTTGTTGGAAATTTGGGAGAAGGACAGTCTGCAAGAACGCTTTATGCAAATACCAGAACTTGTCATTTTCTCAGCAGGGGCAGCATTCTCATTAGTTCTGCCTTTGTGGGTCCAGTAATCATAAGAAATATTTGCATAATGCTTTCACAAATTTATTTAACCAAACACAAGAACTCTATGACAGTAGAGGGCAGGAATTACTACATTATAATTCATTTTACTTTTAGAAAACAGAGGCTCAACACAGGGAAGTGACCTGCCCAACGTCTCGATTTGTCAGTGGCAAAGCTGAGACTCAAACCTGATCTTCTAATATCAGACCTCATCTTTTCATCGCATTCCCTCCTTTCCCAGGTAGACAATGTTAGGGGCAGGCGTAGGCATTCTACACGAAGACAGGATGAAAACAAAAAAGAAAAGAAGACAGGATGAGAGGAAAGGAAGGCAACAGGGAAAGAGTGAAGAGGATTTTGACGGGAGAAGGTGTTTTATTACGAGTCCAGCCACTCTCAATCGCCCCAAATCCCCTTTAAGCAGCAATAAGGAGCACAAGTTACGCCGGGTCTACCAACTTCTGTTATTTTATGAGTCAACCATAGTGCTAGAGAAATAAATGTTCAAAAGATGTCTAAAGATGTTTCTCGTCTGAGATTATGACAGCTGAATTTAGCCCCTCCCACGGAGGCCGTGGCACCTCGTTCTCGCCCACGTTGATTGCCTTAGGGGGTGAAGATACGGAGAGGTGTGAAAGCGTGAAGAGGAGGGTTCGTGCTGTTGGTGGGGGGTGCTAAGGTTGGGGTAAGGGCTGGGGAGCCTGCGGTGGAGCTGTGGTTAGGGGCATGTGGGTTTGTGGCTGAACACCATGGTCGAGTAGGACACCAGGATCAGAGCTGATAGTCAGGGTGGAGTTCACACACCCAGGTGGGTTTGGGGACACGAAGGGGCTGAGAGCGTCAGAGAAAGACCGAGGCGAGGACGTGACTGGGTGGTCTTGGGGGCAAGAGGATGCAGGTTCCCTAAGTCCCGCCTCCCCGGGCCCCCTCCGCCACAAGCCCCGCCCACAGCGCCAGGCCCGCGCGCCTGGGGGGCGGGGAGGGGGAATCGGTCTGGGGAGGGGGAAGGGGGAAGGGGGAGAGGTGAGGCTCGTGCACGCGCCTCACTCGCTGCGGGTGCGCGAGCAGCGCGCTCGCGTCGCCCGCGTCGCCATCTTTTTCCCCCTCCGTCCGTCTGTCTGCCTTTGGCTTTGTCCGTCTGCAGCGCCGCCCCTCGGCTCCTCGCCACCGGCTCGGCCCGGAGCCGCCCTCCGCCCGCCCGGGCCAGGTCCCGTGGCCGGCCCGAGCTGCAGCCCGGGGCCCATTGTCCGGCGGTCCGTCTGTCCGGAGGCGGGGCCCAGGGACGCGGAGGCAGCGCAGCGCCGAGGCGCCGGGTAAAGACACCCCCGCGCCCTTCCTCCGGGCCGGGCCGAGGATGCGGAGGCTCCTCGCCCGCTCTGGGTCGCCGGCTGTCGGTCCTTTTGTCTGTCCGCGTCGGGGGAGGGGGAGGGGGAGGGGGCGGGGCGGCGGCGGCCGGGGCTCACCCCTCCCGGCGGACAGCCTCCTGCCGCGCCCCAGCCCCACAGTTCCTTTTCGGCCCCTCGCGGTCCCGCGTGGGCCCGGGCCAGGCGCAGCCTGGACGGCCCGGCGTCTGACAGGCTTAGGTGGCGCTGGGGGAGGGGAGGATGGCCGTGGGAGTGCGGTCCCGGGTCTCGGTCTCCGCTGCTGGGTCTCGCCGAGGAGCTTCTAAATTTAGATTTGGAGAAGACTGTTGTCTGAGCCTCCTCGAAGACCTCTGTAATTCCTGGGAATTTACCTGTGCCCATGCTTTAAAAAGCCAGAGGGAACGTCTCAGCTGATTGTACACATGCTCCAGACCCGACCCGAGGGGCACGGGGGGGGGCGGGGAAGGGGGGGGCGACTGAGTTACCAGCTTTCTTGTTCTCTTGTTTTTGGCAGATGCAAATTACTTGGATTCGGGCGAGTTTACTTTGCTCCGTGAGAACTGCACCAGAGCTGGAGGTGGGAGTGCACCCCCTTTTTAAGGCTGGATTTCATCCGGCTTTTTTTCCTGCTAAAATCTGTACTGTGCCCTAGAAGCTGCAACCTAACACCTGTAGGAGAGCAGAGACAGTGTTAAGAGAGGTGTGGCACCCTCCCAAGGACTCTGGATTTTGCTCTATAGCCAGAGCTGCCTTCCTCTTTAAACAGAATCCCCTGTAGACCAGAACCTCAGTTTACCTTTCTTCCCCATCTCAGTTTACCTTTCTTCCCCATCCCAGTTTCCTTCCAGATGGTGATTTCAGGCAGCTGTCCGTTTACATTTTTGGTTTAGTTTCAGGTGTGAGCATGGAAACTGAGGCAGTACTGAAAGTAAAACAGAAAGAGTGACCTCCGGGTCAATGTGTCCATGAGTTTTATTAGCCTTTACCACCCATAAAACAGTTGTCTAACCTCTGAGCTCTTGCTGTGTAGTCATGAGTGTCCTTTCAGTGCCATTTATTTTCTTATTTTCAAGAGTCCATGAGTCCACAGGCCTTTTTGTGTTTTTTTATTTCGTGGAAGGAAAGGGTATTCGCTTTTTTGTCCTTTGATCCCTCAGGTGTGAAGCCCCCTGGGGTACCATCTGGTCAGTTCCCCATTGGGCCACTAGGAGGAGGTTTGTGAGAGGCTGTGGACGCTGCTGATTTAAATATGCAGATGTTCATCTCTGTCTCTGCTTTGTAGCCTTAGTACTGAACTGTCATTTTGCCAAGATGATCGGAATAGAGCCTGCCTGGAATTATTTGATGTTCCTTCAGAAAGGACTTTATTACCTTTATCTCAGTTTCAGTTTCTGATCTTGATGGGGAGAAAATGTAGATTAGTCAAAATTCCACTTTTTATTTATACAACAGAGGTGTATTTTAGAAAAATTAATAGACAACTTGCATTTCATTCAGCTCTCCACCTTGTGATTCATAGACATAGAGGAAAATATGAACTGTGATACTGATTCATTGCTTCCATCAATAAAAGAACTACTTGATTAAAAATTATAGGGCCAGGGATTTAGCTCAGTGGTTCTGGTGCCTGCCTTGCAAGCGCAAGGTCCCAAGTTCGATCCCCGGTACCAAAAAAAACCCAACTATATACACAAGGAAAACTTAAGAGAACAGAAACCATTAAATACCAGTATGATGTCCTCTAAATAATAAAAATTGGTTTTTACTGTATACGTTTGGAGTTTTTTTTTTTAAAGGTCTGAAAAAGAACTGTTTGATATGCAGATATGATAGAAGACTGCCTGAAAGCTGCTTCCTTTGCCACTTCCTGTGGAGGCCTGTCTTTGCCATTTGCGGTTTTTTTCTTCTTTTGGTAAGGGGAGCCAGGATCTGATTACAGGTTTGAGGTCCTTTCTAGCTACATAGAGGAGTTAGTTGGCATAACAGGAGGCAAATCTTCATTAACTCAAATGCAAAGTACAGCTAATAATAGTCTCTTATTCTTCTGAAACCAATAAACTACAATTTCATATTTTTATATGTGAGTACAGTTTGAGAAGGCAAAAACTGAGGTGACCAGATCTGTATTCCTGTCTTTGGTAGGAAAAAGAATCTCTTTTTATATCTGTTTAGTCACTCTGTCTTCCAAGGAAAATGTCACAGCTTCTGGAACTAATCTGTTCAAATTCTATAACAATGCTTATAGCTGGGCTAGGAACCTCCAGGACCTCTTCCCTCCTGTGCCAGAAGAGTAGATGCATGTCTCTACAGCACTTCTTCTTTTTTTTTTTTTTGGTACCAGGGATCAAACTCAGGACCTTGCACTTTCGAGGCAGGCACCAGAACCACTGAGCTAAATCCCTGGCCCTGCACTTCTTGATTAGGGAGCTTTTCTCTCTGTTCCTTCCACTGGTCTTTTTGCTACACAGAGGCAGGAATAGGAAGAGGCTGTAAAGGTATTAACTTTATGTGAGCAGGGTCAGGCTGGTGTTCCACATTGGGAAGCTTAATTAGTATTCAGCAACATGGATGACATCTGGCTCTTCTGGTAAGAGCCCATCTTCAGCTTTGGGAGTGCACCTTGCTTTAGTGCCATCATCTACAGTGCCCAGCACTGTGCCTGTATCACACTCTGTTTCCCATGGTGTTTTCTCATTTACAGATGCCTGTCTCACAGGAATATGATGCCCTGTTAACTCTATGCAAGATAACTTCTTGAAAAAAAATGTCTAGAGGTTCCCACTGGAGCAGTTTGACTTCCAGTGGCCATGAGACATATGAGCTGCCACATTCTTACCACCTTTTGCTTTCTTTCACAATCTACAGTGATTATCTCTGTGAGCCCCCACTACTTCTAACCCTAGTTGCCAGAGTGTTGGATCCTTTTCTATTCTGTGACCTTGATGATTGATTACTTAACAGTATTCTGGATTCCAAAGATGGATTTAGAGTACAATTCTCTAAATCCTCTGAAGGAATCCCTCTTAAATTTCTTGGGATCTTTACACTGTGCTAGAGATTTATTTACTTCTTTCATTAGTTCAATTATTCATCAACTCATGGTGAGTTTTATATGCTCAGGAGCTATTTTTAAAAGTCTTTTTATCTTTCAATTTTGTATAGTTTCTGGGGGGAAATGACATGTGCTGACTACACCCTTTTTTTATTGTAGGTTAGCAATTTGCAAGGAGGTAGTAACATCGTGGAACTGGGAAAGGCCAGAGGTCTCAGATCAGGAAAACATGTCCCGCCGGAAACAGACAAATCCAAATAAAGTTCACTGTGAGTACTAAACCTTGTCTTCTGGAACCTGGGAATGTTAAGGGTTGGAAAAAGAGAGGGTAACCTGAATTAGGGTGAGAGGCATACACTATTTTTTAAAGAAGAAAGGGTTAAAAGTTTTGGATATATGGACTAAAAGTGTGTCTGGTTACTGGAGTAAGACAGGGGGACATAGCCCTGTCTTTAGGGATATATACATTTGATTCATCCTTAATACCCACAGTAACAGTTAAGGGATACCTACTTTGTACAAACCATTGTGGTTGATATCAGGGCTATAAAACTGTATAAAACTGTAATGTAGCTTCAGATACACATGCACTCACACACACACACACAGAGAGAAATACAAGAAATACATAAAAATATAAGATAGGATATGCTAAATGCCAAATAGGGATGCTACAGACTGTATATACTACAGAAATTAAGAGGAGAGAAATTAAAAGAGTTCTGTGTCCTGGAAATACATGCTAGAAGAGGCCTTATCATGAACTTAAACTGGACCTTAGAGAGTAGAAAGTGGAGTTGAAAAAAAGAGGGAGAAAAGGGAGAGGAAAAATCAGGTGGGGAAATGATGTGAATAGTTACAAGAAGGAGTGCACATGGCATGTTCAGAGGATGAGGAGACTTTGTATAAAGCAGAAGTTTCATTTGTCCAGAAGTCATAGCACATAATTCTGCATTGTGGAGGCCTGAATGTTGGACCAAGTGCAGACTTCATTCTGTAGACTAGAGAGCTACCAAAGGCTTTTATACAGGAAAAGAGGAGTGACATTTAGAATGTAGTTTTGATACTATGAAGCAGTGTGTGGGATGAATCACATGAAGGAGACTAGAAATAGGACAACAGGCATGCATTGTTGCTCTGTATTGTTTCTCAGCAGTTTCATATGTATATTCTATTCTGAACTTATAAGGGGCAGAGACTACGTGCTATATATCTCTCTACTTCTGGCACTGCTCATAAATGGTGTTTCCAAAATGCCCTTTAAAATTAACATCTCTGCAGATTTCAGAAAACTATTTTCTTATGATCTAGGGGGATAAGCATTCTCACACAAATGATCATAAGAGACAGATACCTCTCTGTTATTACGGTGGACTGATTGAGTAAAATGAAACAACCTTTGAAGAAAATTTAAAGGCACAACATGCAAGATTTTGTTTTAAGGCCAAAAAAAAAAAAAAAAAGAAAAAACCCCCAACAAAACTACATTTGAGAGGATAGTTTAGTCAAGCAATTAAGAGAATTAAAATTTATTAAAAACATTATGTGGGCTGGGGATTTAGCTCAGTGGTTTCGCCTCCTGCTGCGCAAGCGCAAGGACCTGAGTTCGATCCCCGGTACCAAAAAAAAAAACATTATGTGCCAGGCACTATGATAAATCGTTTCTGGGTAATTTTAAGAGCAGAAGAGAAAATAGTTTGAACAAAGGAATTAAGATGACTTTGACATCTTATAGATTAACAAGATTTGGGTAGCAGGCCTCAATATATAATTTTCTATGTAAATCTTGGAAAAGTTATGTAAGATGGGACCAGTTGGATGCTTCAAGAGTATATTCTGGCTGGATGTGGTTGCACATGCCTATAATCCCAGCACTGGGGAGACTGAGGCAGGAAGATTGCCATGAGTTCAAGACCAGCCTCAGCTACATAGTGGGTTCAAGGCCAACCTGAACTACATAATAAGACCCTGTCTCAAAAAAAAAAAAAAAAAAAAAAAAAGTGTATTCTGGAATAGGTGGATGTGCAAGACTGCTTAATATAAAGGTGAGTGGTCTATGAAGATGTAGAAGCAGTTGCCAAAACACTTAAAATGCACTGTGCCCCAATGTGAGGATTGTCAAAGAGATAAAATTCAATAACTAGCATAAGTCATCCAGCACGGGTTCAGGAGGATTGTCTTCCCTTCTGCAGTTGAAGATGAACAAAGTATAAATACAGACCACAAGAAGACAGCAGGAAAGGTACCCTTCATAGAAATGAGGGGTTTACCAATAAGTCAATTAAAGGAGTTGGGTGTTCATCTCTTAAAGCTACTTTCAGAGAGACTAATTTGTCCAGGTGATGGACTAAGCTTGAGCAAAAAAAATAACACACTGAGAAGTTTCTTAAGAACTTCTGTTTATTTTTTATTTGGGGACTGAAGCTGATCCTGCCCTTTTTGAAAGATCATCTTCTCATTGCCCATGACAGTAATGACAAGAGGAAGAAGGAAATTTTATTTTTCTGATCATTTGTGTCCCCTATGCACCTTGCAGTGAAATGGACCCAAGCGTATGTATTGAATTTAATGCTGTTTGTCTATTTAAAGTAAATAGCATGGACTCAAGGTCTGGGAAACAGGAAGGTCTGCAGAAGCTTTGCTTAAATGTCAAAACCAATCAGCACTTGAGCAGAGTAATGGCTGAGCTTCATTACATCTGCCTTCTGGGAAGAAGACTGTGTGGAATGAAGCTAAAAGCACGCCTAAAGGGATACATTAATCCTGCTGCCATAGCCCGGCAACATTTGTCAGATCCACTTTAGATAGGGAGGCTGCTTTGGCACTGATTTGGTTTTCCTCAGGGCTGTTTTTATATCATATTGCTGGAATGATTCTTTCCTGCAGAAATATCCACACAAACTCTTTATCTCTTGCCCACTTGCTGCATTAATAGACTCATTTGCAATAAAAGCCCAGAATTGTTAGTCATGGAGAAACACTGTTGCTGCATTGAAATCTGTTTTATACCTTCTCCTCCATCGTCTCCATGTCACCCCTGAGTACAAATCTTGTCATTTATTTCTAGAAAGGTAGAAAACACAGTCTTTTGCAATGCTCAAATTTAGGGAGTTTGAACCAAGCATACCACTAAGAAAGGAAATTTTAAGAGACTTTTACTTTCAGATTATAAGATACATGAAAGACTAGAAAACTTCACCTGAAAGTTTTTCTAGAGGAGAAGGAATAAAAGCCTTTAAGGTCCTTTCTCTTCTAAAAAGCACAACTTGTTTTGTCTTTATTCATCCCATTTGGCATTCTCCTGAGGTAACGGGTGTGTTCTCAACAGGTGGTACCACGTGGGTTACGACAGCTAGAAATGGAATCGTAAGCTCCTCACACTAGCTCCTTTTTTTTCTGACCTTGACATCTGCTCCCTTAGAGAATATGTTTTGGCTGCTTTATTTAATTTCATTCAGTCTGAAATTGCATTTGTTTAAGTGTACCAAGGATCCAAGAAAAAGAGTTGTAAAATATTTGCGTTCTAGAGACTTTCATCTCAGTCTTTTTATCTGTACTGTGAACTAGCTTGCATGGCCTCATTCTTATATGATCTGAAAAACCTAAGCCAAATCAAAGCCAAACAGTATTTTGAGTTTTGTACCAAAAATAAATAAATAAAAAGTAGATGTAGTACCTTGCTTTTCATAGTGGAGCCCAACTATTAAGATGAATAAATACCCATATTTAATAAGATGATTGCCCTACATTAATGTCTAGGGACCAGAGGATTTTTAAAACCTATTCCAATGGTCTCAGGATGGAAATAATTCTACATTATAAAAACAGGCAATTTTATAACAGAGAGTGTGTGTGTGTGTGTGTGTGTGTGTGTGTGTGTGTGTAAGTAATGGGATTGAACCTAGGACCTTCACACTGAGCTACATCTCAGGCTTTTTTATACTTTGAGACAGGATTCTGCTAAGTCATTCAGGGTAGGCGATCCTCCTATCTCAGCCTCCCAGACTGCTGGGATTATAGGCATGCAGCACTGTACCTGGCTAATTTTATAGCACTTCTTAATCACTAGTATTTCTGTGGATCACATTATACTTGAGTCAACATGACACAATTTTAGCAAGTCCTACTTCTTATGAGAAGGATAATTCTGGACAATGTTTCAGAAATTAGCCAAAAGTGACATTTATCTTTTCTTAAAGTATCTGCTAGAACTGCTGCTTTTTAAATGCTGTTTTATATATTTTGCCTTACGGTGTTCCATAAAACAGGAATAGTCTTCAGGATTAACATTTACCTTAGCTATTTTCCCCAGGTCAAAAGAGCACAGCTTTTCTTTCCAAACTGCCAAAAAAGGAATGACAGAATTAATTTATCTCAGTTATCCTAGGTGAGATTGCCAGCAAGTCTTGGATAGAGAAGTTATATTTAAGCCACATCAGTAGACAAAAACAAAATTTTTTTTTTTGGTACTGGGAATCGAACTCAGGACCTTGCACTTGCGAGGCAGGCGGTGGAATCACTGAGCTAAATCCCCAGCCTGACAAAAACAAATTTTGAGTTTGTGTTGATAAAGACTAAGCAATTACTGGCTCATCTTGAAAAGTACATATCCTTTTAGATGCCTTTCTTCTAATCCAGTGGTGATTCCCCAATACAAAAGGGAAAAGATATTGTTCATTCTTAGCATGTTATAAACCTAGCTGGTTTCTGGTTAGGTTTCTTTAGAGACCAAAGTATCACTGTTAAGATATGCCCTTGATAATTACATGCTAGTATATAACTTGTTCCTTTCTGTCATGTCTGCCCATGACTCCTGGTCCAAAACATGTACCTACCCAGAAGAATTGAAAAACTATTCTAGTTGACTGTGATCTTGCAGTTTCAGTGAAACCAACATGGAGAACTTAAATTATTTTACTTCTGCAGAGAGGAATGAGAAAGCACTCAACACAGAGCTTATTTTTTGCTTTCTCTGGCAGTAATTTATATCCAGTGTGTCATCTTAGATACTGTGAAGATGGGCTTAAAACAACTTATTTTTCCTTTACTTGAGGGCTGTGTAGCTAGGATTACACTTTCACACTCTCCACCTCCAGTCCCACCCACAGGATTAGTCATAGTTGCCACAATGTCAGTTACTTTAATCCAGGCGTGATAATTTATGATGTGGTTTCAGAACCATCATTTTTCCTTTTGTCATATACTGGCCCTGAGAACATTATTTTGATATTTAGGTTGTGTATATAAGTTTCTTATGGTATGAAGATAACACCAACACCAAGCTAAGACCCATTCTTCTCACAGAGAGACAAACGTGTTACCAGCAAAACCACTTTGATGAACCTTCTAACCTTGAACTCACATCTCTGCTAAACAGTAGTTAAAAACTATGGACCTTAGGGGGTAAGGGTATAGTTCAGTGATAGAGTGCATTTGTATCATGTGCAAGGCCCTGGGTTCGATCTCAACCCCCCAAAAAAGAAAGACATTAGAGCCAGGCATGGTGAATAAGCTATAATCTCAGCACTCCAGGAGGCTAAGGCGGGAGGATCAAAAGTTTGAACCCAGATGAGCTGCTTAGTGACTTAGCAAGACCCTGTCTTAAAATAAAAATGGCAAAGGCCCTGGGTTCAATCCCCAGTATTGGGAAGAAAGACATTAAAGTTGGGTAGACTTGGGTTTAAATGCTTGGTTCCACAATAGACCTTAGTTTTCTCCTTAGTAAGTTATAAGTAGGTGGTAATATTGACCTCATAGTTTTGCAGAGAAGTAAGGTAATGACTATAAAGCATATAGCTTGGAACTAGCATAGTAACTATAATTCATATTCAACATTTAACATATAGTAGACATTCAGTGGGTATTTGGTGAACAAATGACCAAGTAAGTTACATGAAACATACTCCACATCAATATTTTTCACTACCCAGCCAGGCATGGTGGTGCACACCTGTAATCCCAACACTTGGGAAGCTGAGGTAGGAGGGTCACCATGAGTTTGAGGCCAACCTGGACTACATAGTGAGTTCAAGTCCAGCCTGAACTACATAGTGAGACCCTGTCTTAAAAAAATACTTTTTTCACCCCCCAAGAACTAGCAGTATAGATCACCCCACCATTTCATTCCTCCTACATCATTGTTTTCTAGCTCAGAACCTGAGCCTTTTTACTTTGTTTTCTCTCTTCAGTAAGAAAGGACCTGCTGTATTGTTAAAAATATCACTGGGGCTTTTTATTATTCCTTTTTGCTGGCTGAGGCATGGGGTATATAGTTTCCACTTTGAGATAATGGAAATCTGGAGAAACCCAACTCTTCTCCTTATGTCTGGTATCCTGGTAATAAAAGAGCATTTAAGGGGCTGGAGATTTAGCTCAGTGGTTCTGCCACCTGCCTCGCAAGCGCAAGGACCCGAGTTCGATCCCCAGTACCAAAAAAAAAAGAGCATTTAAATGTTAACTCTGCAGTAACCACATGAATCCCAAGCAGAGTTCATCAGAAGTAAATGCAAAATTAAGGATGAGTCTAGGGCTCTTAGACCCTGAAAGGGGTCAGGGGCACATTGTCCCAAGGAGACAGTAAATATTATTTGGTGTAAATTAGTTGGTATGTTTCAGGAAAACGAGCAGAAATGAGTTTGTATGTTATCTGTTCTCCTCCTTGTCCAATTTTCAATCAGTTGGTTTTCTCATACTAATTCTGATAGACATTAAAAAGAAAGTCAAGCAAGAACTTCCAGAGTATGTCTTGGAAAGACAGTGGATGAAAGATGGGATGGAATGAAGATGAATTTATTTAGAAGGATTATTTGAAGCACCTATTTGCACTCCAAGATAGACCATAATGCTAGTAATTTAAGGTATAGAGATTTTGTCTAGATTTATTGTCCTGTATCATCCCATCACTTTGCCTGTATTTCCTCAATTCTGATGGAATGTTGTAAATGGAATTGAGAGTCTGCAGTTAAATTTGTAAAGTAGCAATTGTTCACCTTTTGAAGAGTCAGGAATAGGGAGATTTAAGAGAAGCAAGCTATGCTTTCTAGAGTATCTGGCTTACTGCCCAGGAAGAGCAGCTGTGCCCAGAAGCTGTTGGAGGCAACAAGCTGACTTGAAGATGAATGACCCCACCACAGGGGACTTGCCTGTCTCCTACCTTTGAATGGTCTGACTTTCCAATGAGCTTGCCTGGGGATATGCTGCCCAGCTGGTGGCCTGACTATTTTTCCTTGTGACCACCAGGGGATCAAGTATTTGCTGGGCTAGAAGAGCAAGCCCGCCAGGCGATGATGAAAACTGATTTTCCTGGAGACCTTGGCAGTCAGCGACAAGCTATCCAACAACTAAGAGATCAGGACTCCAGTAGCAGTGAGTTCTGCACCTTCTGGTAATGACTCAGGGCAATGGGAGAAGAATTATCAGAGTGTGTGTGCTCTGGGGATTGTGCATGGGGGTTGGGAGGAAGATATAAAGAAGCAACTATGTAGATCTTGGGTGCCCCCACAAATGTTCTAAGTGTGAACATATGCTTATTCAGAGAGAGAGGGCAGGTTTGGCATTATGTTTCAACTCAAGGCTACAGTACTCAGCACAGTGTCATATAGAGATAAGTTCGTGATGGTTGTGATAGAGACATAGGATAATTAATGCTCATGTAGCCCCTGGATTAGGTCAATAAAACAAGGGCGGCATTGATGCATTTTTGCTCGAGGGCTCAGTTTTAATGTTATACAAGATTTGCTTAGTGATGAGATCATGCAGTATATAAAATGCTGTACTCAGGGTCTTCCTACACGAAAGCCCTCAGAGTAGATCTGTGGGTAGGAAATAGAAAAGACTGGTTCTTTTTTTTTTTGGTACCTGGGATCGAACTCAGGACCTTGTGCTTGAGAGGCAAGGGGTGGAACCACTGAGCTAAATCCCCAGCCCGAAAAGACTGGTTCTTACAAATTGACCCTCATGGATTGTTCCATGACCTGCATGAACAGATACATTTTGAAATGGGTTATTTCCTAGGAAGATTTCCATACATTCTTGGTCTCATCCATTTGATACTGGTTATTATTAGTATCAATTCAGAGTGACAGTTCTGATTTTTCTTCAATTTGAGCCTGGGGGAGAACAAAAAGCAAGAGAGTTCTGTAACTTCCTGGGAACTACAGTTTTTCCCAAGTGAATAATTAAGCAATAGAAGCCAGTAAAAAAAATTCAGTAACTAATCACTTAAGTATAGAAAAATGACCCTCAAATTTCTGGAAAACCTATGGAACCTCACCATTTTCTTGAATAACAAGAATAGCAACACCTTCTATAAAAGTCTGATAGGTTTCCATTCTAGAAAAGGTGTATCATCCCTTTAGATAGCACACTTGCTTTCTTTTCTTTCTCTTTCTACTAGAGATGTATTTGGATAATTAATAAATTACAAAAATGTGTTTAATACAACATGGTCTTATATTAAGCTTACAAGTATTCCAAATAGGAAGCTGTTAAGAAAATATAGTGTGATTTCATCTATGCCAATCCTTGAGCTGGATACAAATGAATGAAAAGAAGCTTCAAGCTGGTACTAAGGCATACACATCATAGATCTTTGTAGGACCCAAATCCAGTCCTCCAAGCTACTGGTGTATAGACATATATAACTATAATGAATGGTGGGACTGTCTCATGCAGAAAGAGAATGTAACCAGTTTTGTCCAGACACTGGTGGATTTAGAAATTATGCAAAGGATAGTAGAGAGAAGATAAGCAGCACTATTACTGAGAAAATCTTAATCTCACTGTAGCTACAAAGAGCCTGAAGTCTACCATGTATGTCTCTCTACTTACAAGAGGTCCAAGTGTCCAGGATCTGGGTGAAATTGGGATAGATCTGGAGTCTGACAGCTTCCATAGGTTTGGATTCCACTTATGATTGTTGGGTACTAGTTCTTTCCTTTTAGAAAGAACTCCATTTGTTATTTTGCAGTGAGTTTTTAAAAATCCTTTTTTTAAAACTATCTTATAAGTAATAGAGAACAAACATCAGCTCACATAAATCAGCCACACCCTGCCCCCAAAACTAAAACTCAGTTCTACTTCAGTCACAAGAAATAGTATTTCATTCTAAAGTGAAAAGTGAAGAAAACCCCATTCCTTCCACTTAATGCATTTAGTTATCCATCGGATAATCCAAAGACCCAATAGAAACAGCTGATACATTGAGCTGGGTATGGTGGTACATGCCTGTAATTCCAGCACACTCAAGGCTGAGGCAGAAAGATCACTAAGACAAGGCCATCCTGGGCTACATAGTGAGTTCAAGGCCAGCCTGAACTACATAGTGAGACCCTGTCTCACCAAAAAAAAAAAGGCGGGGGGTTATGCTGAGCTTAGAATCCCGGATTACTAGTGGAGTAAGAACAGAGAGAGTTGGATACTGCGACAGAGTACCTGTGGTTGGTTGCTGTGCTGATTTTTCCACTATAATGAACAGACTATAGAGTGACATCATTTTCACCTAATTTATTACTGCTTCCTTATTGATAAGGGGGAAGAAAAACTTGCTGGTGTTTCCTTAGGGTTTGTTGAGAGAGAACATATTAGCTCAGAGTAGAATAGTGTGTGACATCATGGAGAAATTATGCAGACATTTTAGAGAAAAGTAAGTAAAATATTAACAAGAAATGTTTGTACATCAGAAGTCGTATGTTGTGGGAATGAGCCTGTTACGAGGTGCTGGGGGAGGTACTATTTGAAGTGTGAGATATTTGAGAACCATTCATTCATAAGGATTATTTTTGTGATAATGTAGAGGGCCCAATAACCATTTTCTAATGTAGTTTTGTCTCCATTTTTTTCATTTCTGTGTATATGGTATAACAGTGATAGCTGGTTTCCACTTAACATGATTTGTACCCAACTAGACACTAATTCAAATTATATTATGGAAGATCTGAAAATGTTTTTCATTGTAGCTGCGAACTGCAGGATGGACAGCAGCTCAGGATGTATTCCTGCAAAAATCGGAACAAGTGACCAGTTTGTATGTTCCAGGTGACAGTGAGGGTGATGAAGAGGAGACCACACAAGATGAAGTCTCTTCCCACACATCAGAGGAAGATGGCGGGGTGGTCAAAGTGGAAAAAGACTTAGAGAATGCAGAGGAGCCTGTTGGTGGGAACAAAGTAGTAGAGCATGAGGCAAGTGAAAAATGGCTTTTGAAAAATTATTATTATTATTATTATTTTATTTATTTATTTTTTTGGTACCGGGGATTGAACTCGGGTCCTTGTGCTTGCGAGGCAGGCAGCGGAACCACTGAGCTAAATCCCTGGGCGAAAAAAATTATTTTTTTTGAGATAGGGTCTCACTGTGTAGTTCAGGCTAGTCTTGAACTTATTATGTAGACTAGGCTGACCTCAAGCTCACAGTGATCCTTCTGCCACAGCCTCCTGAGTGCTAGATTACAAGAGTGTGCCACCATGCCCAGCACACATGGCTCTAGTCCTGCAATGCCCTGCCCTTCTCACCATCCCTGATGCTTCTTAGCTGTATGTCACAGTCTTGATGGTCTTCTGGGCCTTCATACAAAGCCTCTTCTTTCACAGCACCAGAATCCAGCCCTCAGTCACAGCACACATCATATTGCCATTTACAGCTATCTTTCCTAAAACTCCCCATTTCTTTCCAGGCAGAACAGCCACCTTTGCAAACTGAAAGCTTACTTTCTAAAGTGAACTAGAATATGCTTGCAAATTTGTCAAAATGTTACCTGAGGCATCACCTTCTCACTACATGGTTTCCTGAGACTCCTACAAGGAGCATGGCAGGAGAGATGCTAATCCTTTGCTGCAGTATTTCTTAGATAAAATAGCAACTCTCTCTGGGGCAGTCCTCTGTGCTCATGGCAGAAAACCTTGGAGAAAATGAAGATGTAAGCAAATTTAATTCCTTTTCAAACATTTCTTTTTCCTTCAGCCCACAGTGGAAACCTAAGAAGAACACATGACATCAGGATGTGCTCCTTTTAACCCTGTTAAAGAGGTGGGAGCAGGGAAGAGACTAGTGAAGTCTCTTCATGAATTGCCTGTTTATTAAATTGCAGGTCACAGAAAATCTGAATTCTGACCCCTTGCTTGAACTCTGCCAGTGTCCCCTCTGTCAGCTAGACTGTGGGAGTCGGGAGCAGCTGATTGCTCATGTATACCAGGTATGGCATAGGGAACCACGAGGTCTGGAACCCCCAAAGTGCTGGTGGCTTGTTTATAGCCCACATCCTCCATTGGCCTTTGCCTCTGTCTCCTGAAGCATCTTGGGGTTTTGCCTCCATAAGACTTCTCTCCAGTTCTCAGAACTTTCTTAGAGTTGTAAGTGGGATTTGTTGGGAAAATAGGTTCCCAGGCAGACACAGTGTAAAAATTAAATGTCATCTTTTTCTAAATTATTTAGTACATATATTCAGTAGTGAAACAGAAACTAACATATATTAATAATGAAGGCCTTTAAAGAAAAAAATGTAATTGATATGTTTCTGAAATACCAGTGGAAATATAAACAAGGGAATCAGAATAATAGTCTTTTGTTTTCTGTTTACCGTAATCCAACTGCAGAGTACCTGTGCCTTGTGATCCATATTGACAAGGGATCAATACACAGGCACAGAGTGGCTTGGGTTGTACAATTAGTTTACAAGAAGTATTTCTTTAAAAGACTGTCTTCTAAAAGAATGAGGAAAGACATACCAGTAATCACAGCCAGCTCTGAGATTTGGCCTTCGTCACCTTTTGTTTTTTGTTTTTTGAGACAGGGTCTTGCTGTGTAGTTCAGGCTGGCCTTGAACTTGTGGTGATCCTCCTGCCTTAGCCTCCTGAATGCTGGGATTACAGACATATACCACTACAGTTCATCACTCTCTTAAAAGGCACTTGCTTGCCTACACAGTGTGAGCCAGAGAGAGCTAAATGATTCTGAACATGAATTCCTCTAGAGCTGTGGAGCCACACTGTTCTTCAGACCAGCCATTTGTCTCAAAATTTGGTCAGACTTCAAGGTAATGAAATTGGAACAATAATTTGAATGGCCAGGTCTATTTGAAGCCCCACTAACACAATAAGCTGTGACTTCCAGGAGTTATACAGAAAGAATAGTTCTAAGTCCCTGGTTCTGAAACTAAAAAAAGAAGACATTTCTCAGAAAGTAGTTGAGTACAGATTATCCTGGAGTAGTGCAAATTGACAAATTAAGGCTCTGTTTTACAGCATACTGCAGCAGTGGTGAGTGCCAAGAGCTACATGTGTCCTGTCTGTGGTCGGGCCCTTAGCTCCCCAGGGTCATTGGGTCGCCACCTCCTAATCCACTCGGAGGACCAGCGGTCTAACTGTGCTGTGTGTGGAGCCCGTTTTACCAGCCATGCCACTTTTAACAGGTTAGCTGGGCATCTAACCCTGTTGTACTGGGGAGCAAGTTACTGGGTATGGGTTCTGCTTTCCCAAGTTCAAAGTTAGCCAAGGGATAGGTAATAAAAAGCCAAGTGACACATGACTATTTGGAAATGCGAGTAATGAGGTTTGGAAATACCACTTGGATGTCCCCAAAAGGAGGTAAATTCTCATTTCTTTCTTCATCCAAATATACTCAACTAGAAAGAGATGTAAAGAAGTACAAGAATGTTTACAAAAAAGCATGAAGAAAAAAGTTGTAAGGTACTTAGAGGAACCTGGTGTGAGGACAGTCTTCACTGTGTCCTAGGAAGACTGGAGCTCTGTGAACTGTTCTTATCCTGTTTGCGTGGTGTACAGTGCAGAGGGTGCCTTTCATGGGACAAGGTGAGGCAGTGGAAGCCCACACATCCAGATCCCTTTATTTGCACAGTAAGCCTAGCCCTGTACCATCACTCAACTTCACATTATACAGCTTGATTTTTGGTGGGTTGCTGTGGCAGGTGGCTCAGTCTTTTCTTTGAGGTGGGCTTTAAAACTTAGTAGATATCCTAGCCCAAAAAGAACAGGTTTCCCAAGCATTAAAATGGACCTCTAAGGGACTGGGGATGTAGCTCAGCAGCACAAATGCCTGCCTGGCAAGCGTGAGATCCCAAGTTCAATCCCTGCTATCAAAAAAAAAAAAGACCTCTAGTAGTGAACTTGGTCTGATAAAAAAGAGTAAATTAGGGTTGACTATGTGAGCTTAGGTATAAGGAAACACTAACCATTCAAAATGTTTGCCTTCCAGTGAGAAACTTCCTGAAGTACTTAATATGGAATCCCTACCCCCAGTTCACAGTGAGGGCCCCTCCAGTGCTGAGGGGAAGGACACTACTTTCAGTCCTCCAGTGTACCCTGCTGGAATTCTGCTTGTGTGCAACAACTGTGCTGCCTACCGGAAGCTACTGGAAACCCAGACCCCCAGTGTGCGCAAGTGGGCCCTCCGTCGACAGAATGAGCCTTTGGAAGTACGGCTGCAGCGGCTAGAACGAGAGCGTACAGCTAAGAAGAGTCGGCGGGACAATGAGACCCCTGAGGAGCGGGAGGTAAGGCGCATGAGGGACCGTGAAGCCAAGCGCTTGCAGCGAATGCAGGAGACAGATGAGCAGAGGGCGCGCCGTCTGCAGCGAGATCGGGAGGCCATGAGGCTGAAGCGAGCCAATGAGACCCCAGAGAAGCGGCAGGCCAGGCTCATCCGAGAGCGAGAGGCCAAGCGGCTCAAGAGGAGGCTGGAGAAAATGGACATCATGTTGCGAGCTCAGTTTGGCCAGGACCCTTCTGCCATGGCAGCCTTAGCAGCTGAAATGAACTTCTTCCAGCTGCCTGTAAGTGGGGTGGAGTTGGACAGCCAACTTCTGGGCAAGATGGCCTTTGAAGAGCAGAACAGCAGCTCTCTGCACTGAACCCCTCTCTTGTCTGTTCTCCCACCCACCCAAGCCCACAGGGCTCAGTGCTGCAGGTACCTACAAGGCCATCCTTGCTGCCAGAGGCAGGCCTGGGTTTGTTGCAGGTGGACCTGTGCACCCCTTGCATGTGGGAACAGGATGACAGGGTCAAGAGGGACCCAGCTCTAGGTACCCGAGACAAGGGAGCAGGCACTCCAGAGAACTGGACTCCCTAGCCACTGCAGCAGGCCAGGCTTATGGGACTATAGGATCCCAGTACAGCCCATGAAGTTGTGAGGGCAAATAAATTAATTTTATCTTTACTGGCCCTTTCCTGCTTTTTGCCTCAGTTTCATTCTAGCCAATGAAGCGAGCTAGGAGAGCTGGGTGGGAGTTTTCAGGCAGTGACTGCTGTTGGCATGCTTTTTATAAGGAAGGGTGCTCTTCAGCTTAGGCTACCCAAGCTCATGTCCTTTACAAACTGATGAGGAATAACTAGGACAGTGAAGAAAGAACTGACCCTGACTTTGAGAATTCATTCTCACAACCATAATTGATACCTACAGTTCCATGGGCTGTGTAAACTTAGCTTACCTTTTCCACACTTAGTAGTAGTAAAGCCTTTCCTCACAACTAGTGTTTTCTAAACACTTATGTATGCTTGAAACTAGGTGCAAGCTTTTCCAAGCAAAAAACACTGTCAGGCACTTAAAATTCTATCCCAGAGAGCAGCAAGCTATATCCAGGAATATGGCTCCAATATTCCATATACCACTGAACTCACGTTTTGAAGAAGAGCTAATTGATCTTTTTTTTTTTTAATTCCTCAGAGCCAAGGTAGAATCATAAAAGCCATTGAGAAAAACTCAGAATTAAGGGAATAAGAGCTCAAGTCAACAGTGGCAAAGGCTAGACCAGAATGACTACTCTGGCAGTTTGCATGGCTGTCAAGCAATGGAGAACACAAGTGCTGAGGCCATTTCTAAAGCTTCTGTGATGGTACAGAATGAGTACAGAACTTTCCTTAGCCTGCATCAAAGGTTGTGTACAGTTTAAATAATTATAGGCCTTGAGGTCCAGAAGGAAATGCCCTAAATTGTAGCCAGAAAATTAACTATGCCAGGAATGTGGACCTCTTCCAATACCGTAACTAGGAAACTTGGCCTCCTCTCTGACCTCCATAGGCCCAAGGCTAATAGTGTCATATGATGCCCACCAAAGTAGGGTGAGTTCCTACCAGGTAGGCTAAAATGTTTTGAAAATTACATTTACAAGTAAGTACTTGATTGATCCAAATGGCTTTCTCTCAGAGCTCAGTATCAAAGTCCTATTTGGGATGTTTCAAAATGTTGAGCACTTTACATGGATTATCTAATTTAGTTTCCACAACACTAAGTAAATACAAATTCACAAATTAGATGCCTGGGTTCAAAACTGCTCTGCTGGGCTGGGGCTGAAACCCAGTGGTAGAATACTTGCCTATGATAGCAAACACAAGACCCTTGGTTTAATTCCCAGCACCAAAAAACAAAACAAAAACCTGTCCTGCCATTTACTAGCTGTGTAATATTGGACAAGTTATTTAACCTGTATGTCTTGCTTTCCCAATCCACAAATGGAAATATTAGCAAAAAATGATTAACATATTCACGCCAGGCCTGTAAATTATATGTCTTGCTACTGACTGGCTCTGATTATCAGGTGGTAGCCACCCAGTGGGACAGTCATGGAACACACACGTATGTTCATGCATACATACATACATATACATATATATCCTGTGACAGTTTGTGGGACATAAGTGTTTATGTGTCTACAGTACCATGTTTTTTAGTATTTTCACTACTTAACTGGTGGCAAGCTTCCTACATTAGGAGTAGTAACTGTGATTGGGGCTGACTTAAGCAGTTTCAGCAATATCACCGAGTAAAGAAAAGAACTGGAGGGGCCGGGGTGGGGATGTAGCTCTGCGGCACCACACCTTTCTGGCAAGAGTTGGATCCTCAGTACTGGGAGAAAGAAAAAAAAAAAAAAATTGGGGGAAGAGGCCAGCAGCCAGGACACCTACAGGTCCTTGTGGTTGACTCTCCTGGTATCTAAGCATACAGGTTAAACTTTCCATCAACAACAGACCATTCCTTAGCTCCCACCGTCTGCCCTGAGCTCACTACATGAAGGGCACCATTTGGATTCCATTTCAAGAGCTCCCACAAAGCACTTTTACCCCCCTACCCTTGACCCAATGGCCACCACCTGAGGCTGGGATAGGAAGGAGGCGCAAACACCAAAAGGAAAAGCTAGTAGTTTATATAGATAGATATATAGATATATAGATATTGATATATATTGTGTTTACATAGTCCACAAGTTAAATGCAGGTATCCATAAGAAGAGCATTAACAATAAAAATACAATCTGTGTGTAGCCAAGTACAGAGACTTAAAATGGTAAAACAGCAAAAAGGATCTCACAAAAGTACAAATATACAGTACAAATTGATTTATTTAAAACAGTTACAAAAAAGCACAACAAAATAGAGATTATCCTTAGAATTATTAATGCTTTGTTAAAGATCAGGTAGGATTAGAGGGTAAGAAATGGTATTGGGTGGGGGGAGCACCTGACTAGTTCTAAGGCTTTAGATACAATGCAGTTGATTACATATTAATTCAGCCATTACATACTGGGGGTAGTAGTTGGGGGATCAGTAATTTATCTACAGGGAACTCCTACACAGATCCAACCAGACCTCCCCAGTGCCGTCCTCCTCTAATCCTTAGGACCCTAAAGCCACCTGGGTGACAAAATTTCCATCCTCTCCACCCCATTCCCTATCCATATATTCTTCCCTCCACTAAGGTGCTGTGCAAGCTGAGAGCGGTTTGCTCTCTGCAGCTGGAACTTATACTGTTTGGGCTACAGGGATCCTGTGTGACTAGGAAGTTTGTAGGGGACAGTCTTATTTTAATACTTCAAATTAGCCATGAGTATAGTCTCTTCCCCAACACAATCCAGATTCTCATCAATCATGTATGAAGCAAGTATGAGGGATCAACCATGCCTTCAGCAAGACCAGCAGCTCACTAACCCTCAGAGTTCACCACTGCATGCAAACTCCTTATCGGGCGTGGGTGTAAAACCACTGTCATCAGCACTTTCTCACCCTCTCTCTCTGAAGAACCTAAGTCCCCATGACAGTCATAAAGACAGAGTAAATCCAAGTTTGACAACGGGTAAAGGCACATGGGTTGCTACCACACACACTACAGACAGGAACCCAATATGGGGCCACTTTCACTGCTGGGCATTTGCAGTGGAATGGCTTTGGGATCACAGACTTTGAGTTTGCAATCTACTAGGGGAAGATCTAGACTTAACAGGAGAATTAATAAACTTTTAGTGTGAAAAGTGCATTTATTACTACTATTCCTGCTGGGGAGGCTCAGCAGGGCAAACCACACCTCTCCTCCTTCTGCCCCAGGCACTGTGCATAGTCTGCAAGGAGAGAGTGCAGCCTACTCTAGCATCAAGGGCCAGTGTCATCCTAGGCCCAGACCAGGCTTCTGGTCCAACGATGGATCCTAGAGTTGAAAGAGCAACTGACAACTGCAAAGACACAGAGGTTTATTTTATTATTGCATAATGTGGGAGACCTTTCCTACCCTAGGGAATCTGGAGGGTAGGTGAAGGCTTCAAACCAAAGGGCTAATAGGTTTCTCTTTAACATCCAACCTAGCAGGGTTCATCTCTTCAACTGTAGTGTACACTTTTTTCCATCTGGAAAATACTGTAGCTTCAGTGTGATTTAATAAACTTAGCCTAAGGAAGTCAAGACATCCCCCTAAAACTTGGCCTCTGTTCTATTTACTTTGCTTGTAAGACCATGGCCTAATCTCCCATGGCCAATTCAGTTAATCCGGTTATCTTTACTCCAATGGACCTGGGTCCTTTCCCAGTCATCTCATGTCCTCTTTCAGCTCCAGTGTGATCAGTCAACTCTACCATATGCCTGCTTTTTGCAGGTTTAAATCATATCGTCCTGTGCTTCCCCTAAATCGCCTAATGATGCCCACTGGAAAAAAATAACACTAAACCCTACTGGAGGGGTTACTTCAGCCAAACTTCAAACCCTCTCCCAACCTCAGAATCCACTGGAGCTACATGAATCTTGCTGGGATGTTGGCACAGGCCCTAATGTGGTTCCCCCTACTCATTTTTAAAATACAAGATACCTCAAAAGAAAGAAGTAATACAACAGAAGACACCCTCTCATAGAAACTGCTCATTTCTTTCTCAAGACAGGCAGATCTTTGGAGCCAGAGCTCCTGACACCACCACTGAAGCCATATCCCTTTGGATTCACCAGCCTACCAGCAGCATTTCATACCATCCCTACTCAATATGACTGTGCTATATAGTAACACTGGCAAAACAGATAAGAATAGACAAATGCCTGAATTTAATTTACATGGTCAAAGATATGGAAGGACAGGGAGCTACAGAGGGCAGCAGGCAGGATAGTGAGCAAAAGCAGCAGTGGCAAAGCAGCATAGAGGAAAGCCCATGATGTTGTGACCAACTGGGACCTAGAGTGTAGACGGGTCAGTCTAGATCTGCTGGGACTGCTCCTGTTGGGTACAACACTAAGCTCTGAACTCCCAGATCCCTTTTCCCAAGTATAATAATCTTCATAGGAATGGTGATCTAAGTCTTAGGATCTTTTGAAGAAGATCTGGCAGGTTTCTCTTCTTCCAAATTGGAATGGGCATTTCTGTACAATTCCAGAGTATAGCAGTCCTCTTTTTTATCCCTAAACTTTGGGAATGTTCTACCATTGACTAGAGACTGACCCTTTGTCAACTGCCCATTCCCAAAAGGTTGACAACCTCTCATTAAAATGCTCACTCTCCAAAAACTATTCTCATGTCTCTTGCAAACTTAGGTAACTCCTATAAGGAAATTTACTCTTACTTCTTCTGTCTGGAAAAAAAAAAAGTAAACCAGAGGAAAAGCCAAGGGCAATGACAATTCTGACCAAGATTTAGAGCACAGAGCTTCTTTTCCTGGAGACTATACTTTATGAAAGCAAGCTACCTCTGCAGCTCAACAAAATCAAGTATTAACATGCTACACATACATGACACAATATTTGGGGAGCTAGTGGAATTGCTCCACCAGCAAGAAACAGAAGAGGAACCATGGCAGAGAGGTCAGAGCCCAACTTGCCAAGGTCTCCCACAATTTCTTTTTCCAGGACTCAATGGGAGTTACCAGACTGGGAAGTCACAACTAGCCTGAGTGCAGGGTAATTTAACTACTTGGTCTGTATCTGGTTAGCTACAGGTTTGCTCCTATAAGAAGCTTAGTTGGGGTCATGGTGGATATTTCAAGTGTCTGCTGTGTCACTATATTCCGCTAATGAGCCCTCCTAAGAAGAAGGATGCTTGTGAGAAACGCATGCATATGACAATCCCTAGGAATAGGTTGCTCCAGAAACAGCCAGAGATGAGGCCTTCTCCCAAGAACTTCATCTGAGGGGATTCCTCAAGACTCAACCCCACAGGACCCCACTGTAGGAAACAAGCCAGAGAAAGCAGCAGAGAGAATGGGGGTAGAAAAAGGAAAGGACATGATCTCAAATGTAGTACAAGGTTGGTATTTGGTTCTGACATAAACCAGAGACTGAAGAACTTGTGGTCAGGTCAGGAGCCTTTGGATGGACTCCACAGAGCTCACTGACCAGGTAACTGCTCTCAAGGAATGAAAACAGTGGAGTGTAGGGCTTGTAGAAAAACAAGCCAGCTTCAGGGGAACAACCTTTAGCACCTGAACACTAAGAATGACTCCATTCTCAGAACTTCCCCTCCCCCCAGGAGGTAGGTAAGATTATTTATCCCCATTTGGCAGCTGGGGAGGAAGTGAAAGAGAGGTCGTAAGACTTGCCTACAGTCTTTGACAGAGCAGAACTCAGACCTCAGAGATTTGGGACTCCTGATGACAGGCCAGGCTTTGACCATTCCATTTATAAAAGGAAATGCCAGGATGATACCTGGGAGAAATCTAACCAGAGAGTTGGGTGGACAATACCCTGAGTTGCCTTCAAGAGTCTAAAGACCCCCTCGGTAAAATCAAACAAGATCACTCACCCACCTGATAGCTGGTGGGGGAGCCTAAATCCCAATACCCAGTAGAATCCCACAGTCCAAACTGATACTAAAAGTTGTGTGTGTGGGGGGGGAAATGTGGGTTTAAGACAAAGGGTAGCACATGCAACTAAGATTGAAAATACTCTGTGCACAGGAAAATACCATCATGAAATGAAATATACTTTAGGTATTAAAATGTTACTAAGACTATCCTAGATCCTTAGAGCTGGCAGTGGGAGGGGATGGCTTAGAGAGAACTGAATGCTAGGAGAGGCAGTGAAATAACACAAGAGGGAGACATGTGAAAATACCAGAATGGGAATTGCCTAGCCAGGTGCATCTGCCCTGGTCCAGAAAATGGTTCCCTTTTTGTTTCTGCCCCAAGATATGTGGCAGTAAAAGAGGAGGGGCCGTGACTTAGAGTTCTTAAAAACAGACTTCAGCTGATGGGGAAACCAGGGACCCCTACATAACGGAAACTAGAGGTCTTGGTCAGAGTGGACAAAGCCACTTTTGCAGAAGAGGAAAGGCAGTGCAGCTACACAAGGCCCAGCTCAAGACACCATGCAGAGGCTAGAGTGGCAGAAGGGTGGGGGCAGTGCAGGCACTTAGGCACAACGTAGACAGACAACAGAGGGGTGTAGGTGCCTGGGGAAAAGGTCCACTGACTCTTACCAAAGTCACCATTACCAACTAGAGACTCGACAAAAATCTCAAAGCAGGCCCAGTATACCAAGTAGGAGGAGCTCTGTTAGGTCAGCTACCTTTCCAGAAGCCCTACCAAGAGCCCAGTCACCTGGCTGTGAGGTCTTTCTCCAAAGTCCCCTGACTGGGTCCCTGGCAAGGCAGAACTCCACTCTGAACTCTCGAAGGGCTTCTCTCTCTCCTGGCCTCCAAGCTGCTAGAAGCCTCAGAGGAGGAATGGTGAGGAGAGATGGGAAAGGGCTGAAGCAGAGGATCAAGCAGAGTTCTGCGATGAGGGTGCTCCTCTCCCACACACCCAGCCATAGATATCTGTAACAAAAATCACCCTTTAAAGTGCACATCTCTCACAAGAAGGGTTCTGGGTGGGAACCCTCTTATTTCTAACCATGGGGCCTCCTGCCCTCCCACCACAAAAAAGGAAAAAAAAAACCCAACACTTCAGACAGTTTTACTGCTACTATAAACTGTGGATCATCATTTTTGGCTCCTTCTTTGCTCCCTCTCTCTGCCACCTGCTCCCAAAGCCTGTACTTTCCCTTGCAGGAGCTAGGGATAGGGAGGAAAGAGCAGGGAGGCCCTGATTTTGGAATGTTTCTTTTCCTATGTGCGTGCCCTCCCTTTCGTGCCCCAGGCCTCCTGCACCCTATTACAGCAACCCCTGGGGCTGTGCTGAAAGGATGCCAAGGGATAATGAGCAACAGATCCTACCTTAGGAGGCTGCCTTCATGCCTCCCCTTTCCCCCCTAAATCTCACTACCAAGAGAGCCATTCCCTGCTCGGCATGTGCAAATCCTCTGCCTGCTCACGGTGAGGCTCACCTCTGGGGTAAAAGCCCCAGTCCTGGTCTGGGAAAGAGGTTCATTTTCCCGCATTTGAACGCCCTTCAATGGACAGCTTTACCTCTTGTGGAATGAAAGAGGGACGGAGCAGTCCAGCCCGTGCCTCCTCCCCTTGCACGCTGTATCTTTGGAAGTTTGGGGCTGGCCAGCAGGCCTGAGCACCAGGCTCAGGCTGGGAGGGCTCTACCACATGGGAGCCCTCTCCTGTGGGCTGGCTCTTCCCCTCACTGTCACACAGGTCTCTGGGTCCCAAGACTGTTCTCTCAGGCCTTTCTCGGGAGGGACCCAACTGGCCTGGGGGAGCACAGCTGGCCTGAGAAACCGAGTTACTGTTCAAGCTCTGTAAACTGATAGAGATGCAGACATCTCCCACCTGTAGTCGATGGCAGGACAGAGAGAAGAGTTGTGCAGTCCGCCCAGGGCTGCAGGACGACCAACCCTGGCCATATACAAAGAAGGGGTGCTCGGGGGGCACCTCAATGCTCACTTTGCTCTGCTGCTCACCAACCACAAAATGCAGCATGACAAATCCAGGCCATTGGCTCTCCTGAATGTCCACAACCGTACTTGAGTCAATCTTCAGCCCCCCGCTCACTTCGGCACTGCGCACAAAATCCTGGGTCTGGAGGTCCTCTACCCGCTTCAGCTCCCCTGTAGCCAGCTGGATGATGGCGCCTTTCATGAAATGGGAGGGCAAGTGGGAAGAGGTAATAGGGGGTGGCGTTGGCTCCTTGTCTGGGAAGGCTCTGGCCTGCATGTCCAGACTTGATGCCACCAGGATCTCAGAGCCCACAGGCAGCAGGCCTGGGTCAGTTCCAGTGGGCACCAGGTTGCCATTGGCAACAACCATCGCTTTGGGTAAAAGTCTATGTTTTACTGGTTCCTGATGGGATTGAGGGTAGAACCCACGGGCCTGATTCTTCTCTGCCACCTCTGCAGGGTTCCTGGCTGACCCTCGTCCCTCACCCTGATGGTCAGGAGTATGATGGGACAGGTTGAGGGGGCTGGATTCATCTTTCCTCTGAGCTGCCACCACACGATAGTCCTGAGAAGCTAAAGCGCCAACTACCCGCTGGACCTCAAGGTCGGTGTCTGGAGTCCCTCGATGTGCTGGTGCCGTCACCTCTACCCGTGAAGTCTGAGAACCTGAAAACAATTGTCCATCCACCACACATTCTACCACTGGCACCAGTCCTTGGCTTTCACCCTTGCTGCTCAGGGAGTCAAGGGCTTCACTTTCCCGTCTTACTAAATTTCGCTCTCGTTGTCTCTGTCCTCCATTGGCAGCAGCTGCTTCCAGAGCAGACTGGCCCTCCTGAGGGGTAAGAACTGGGCTGGCACCTGTTGGAGGGTTTTCATGCAAGGTATACCCACCAGGTAGCCTAGACATCTGATAATAAATGGGCAACCGGCCTGGAGCGAGGTCCAGTGGCTGAGTACTTGAGTGATGTGGCAACTGCCCAGGCGGGGAGGCGGCAGTGGGGGTTTTGTTAAATGAATGGGCTGGGGATGAAGGCTGGGGGGGAGGAGTGGCTTCTTCTGCCAGGAGTGAAGCATATGGCACAAAGTGTGGAAGGTGAGAAGTGGCAAGATTGGCAGAAGGAGAAAGGAGGGGACTTGGTAGGAAATTAGGTGGCACAGCATAAGGAAGGCTATAAGGAGACCCGATAAACTGCAGTGAGGTGGATGGGAGCTGAGCATAGTGGATTGGGGGATAGTGGATTCCTGGATGTTGAATCAGTGAAGACGCTACATTAAACGTGGGGGGCAAGGGGCTCATGTTCACCACAGATGGGAGGCCAGTGGGTGAGAAGGTGGCAGGTGGCACAGCCACCTTATACAGCATGCCATACTGGTCTACCGTCAGACCAGTGATAGCTTCAGATCCATCACCCCCCAGGCTGACTCTGGCTCCAGCCTGGCTCTGCCCAGCCACCACAACCCCTCGGGACCATTCAGAGGCATCACTGGAGGGTGTGTGGTTTGTGGAACAGCTGGTAGTCCGCCCCATATCCTCGCTGGTCACGGGGAGGTCTCGTTTCTTTGGTGGAAGACATTCCTGACTCCTCTCATGAACAGGTTTCATATTGTTTTGTGGTGTTCCTGAAGCCTGGAAGGGGCTGGCTTGCTCCTTGGGACATCAGAAGGGGCTTCTCTGTGGCTTCCCTGCACCCCTCTCTGCTGTTGGCTGGGGTGCCCACATCTGCTAGGGAACAAATCAGAGGCAAAGAAAAGTAACCTATGGAAACACAATGGAAAAAGAGAGAGGGGAGAGGAGAGGG